GGTGTGGGTGGGTGTGGGTGTGGGTGTGGGCGTGGGTGTTGGTGTGGATGTGGATGTGGATGTCTATGTGGGTGTGGGTGTGGGTGTGGGTGTCTTGAACAGAGTGTTCATGTCCACATTCACACCCACACCGGGTTACCGGAAGATCGCCAATTCGGACTTTCGCCAATAGGACATTCGCCAATGGCGAAAGTACAGGGATGTGTTGGCGAAGGTACGGTGGACTTCCGCCAATTGACGAAATTCCAAGGTATGTATTGGCGAAAGTACAGCGGACGTTCGCCAATTGACGAAAGTATAGTGGAGTTTTGTCAGCCGTCACAAAATAATATTAATACAGGATACATGTAAGGGTTAAAGCTAATACTGTTAGAATATATACTATAGCTTACGCTTTTAGACATCGCTCTTATATTTGTTTCACTCTCCATTACGTCGATTCATCATTCATTTCTTGCTCGTATACACTTCGAAATGAGCCGTTCAATCAGCCAGATACTGGTGAAGCGATTATGCAGCGTTTGATAAAAGTCTGCAACGATTTTGGCTTGAATGCTAACAAAATCATTATTGTATCTGACAAAGGCTCGAACGTGAGAAAAGCTTGGCGTCTCGCGCATCTTTTGTATTTACCATGCGCTGCTCATAGACTGCACAATCTACTCATGGTTGATGTAATTCCAAAAATCGATGGGCTAACAATATCACTTGATAAAGTTCAAGCGATCATCTGCAAATTGAGATATCGTGAGAATGAGCTACGTGAAGCATTCTTATTGTCAACGAATGATTCAAATGATTTGATTATTGAAGACCTTCATATAGCATTTGAATTATTGGATGCTGATATGTCATCACCGATTACGCTTTATGAAGACGGAGACGATGATAACGACAATACACCATCAGCATTCCTTCGAACAACGTTGATCGAACGTGAAAATCATCCCACAAATCGTTCGACTGAATCAAAAAATTTCCATACGCTCAAAAAGCGAGTGTGTACACGCTGGAACACAATCCTCATCATGCTTCGATCGTTCTTGCCTAATATCAACTCAATTAGAACTGTTCTTGCTCGAATAGATAGTGTAGATCTGCTTCCATCATTTGATGAATTGGAATTACTCAAAGTTCTCGTAATCTATCTCTCGGCATTCGAAAGTGTTACAAGGATTTTATCGGCCTCAAAAGCAAATCCAACGCTAAATCTCTATCTTCTACTTCGCAAAGAGATTGAACAAATTTCTCAATCCGATGAAGACGACAATGAATTCATGCTCAATTTGAAGGAACTAATTCGAAATAATATTGAACAACGTTTACTCGTTTCTGAACTCAGTTGTATGGCTTTCATATTGGATCCATCTCTTTCGAAAATTGATATTGACGATTACCTCCGAATCATCGGAAAGTCCAAAGAGAAGTTGCTTCTGTCGATGATTGAACGATTCAAATTGAATAACAATCAAGATTCAACATTATCATCTAGTGATTCGATGACGACAAATACTTCCACATCGACGTCGTTAAGTGCTTCTGCATCATCGGTATATGTTGTCGGCAAGCGCCGTCTCTCAATTGAATCTCTCGACAAGCAGCCCACCGACTTGAAGAAGCTCAAAACAAGTATTATCGAACTGCACAGTGAGACAGCTACTAAATATTCTCAATTATCGAGCGAAATCAACGCCTGTTTGCAAGTCAACGTTGCGTGTGATGATATTCTCTTATGGTGGAAGAACGCCCAAAGTTCGTATCCACATTTGGCACAATTAGCTCAGATAGTTCTAGCTATTCCAGCTACTTCGACACCGTCCAAAGAAGTTTTTTCAACTGCTGGTTTAATTTTATCTGCCAAACGAACACAACTCGCACCAGAGACTGTCGGAAAAATACAATTCATTCACGATAACTATTCTATGTTCAAAAAATAGATAAAGAGTGTCTTTATTACTGTTTAGGTTTATATCTTGCGTTATTTTTGTTGGATTTCAAGTCATTTATCTTGAAAAAGTGTAAACTTTTTGAATTAATGAAAAAAAATCAAAGTACAGTGAAATTCTTTTTAATATAGAAAGAGATTCGTGTGCGAAAATAGAGATAATGGTATGTTACTATGAAAATGAAAAGCGCAATGTTTGTAACAAAGGTTGGAATCAACCAAAGACTCGGTAAAATGACTTTCGAAAAATTTCGCCGCCGCCGAAGATGACTTCATCGGCGTGATTTATCCGCCGCCGCCGCCGATACTTTCAAACTTTTTCGTCGCCGCCGCCGATCAAATGATCGGCTAACATCTCTACTCATAACTTTTCTATTTTTTATTACTACTTACATTGGATTAACTACGCATTTTGGAAATAATTACTGATAATTTTAGTGATAGCCGATAAAGATGTATACTGACAATTTACATGACTTTTTTTACTGTTTATTTCATCTGTTTATTGACCACTTAACTGGTAGCCTTTATATTATTTAGCAAGTTTACTTGATTTGTTTCCATTTGTACTTTATTTACTTGTATGCACTACACGTGGAGATATATTGTATTTTGTTTACATGTAGACAACCAAATGCAATGAGGCTCTTATGATATACTTTAATTATTACAGTATAACCGTCGTACTGCACATATTTTCTCTCTAAAGAGATAAGCAAAGAAAAGAAAAGAAACGCATGAATAGTTACAAAAAAATGACAAAGTGGCTTTCATACATTTATTTCTACATTCTTTTCTTTGATATTGATCCTTATAGTCTTGTCGAAGAATATTTCACTAAATGAATGATAGACAACCTCTATTAAACAAGTCCAGTATATTGCCTACTGATGATGATGATTATACTGGAAATGAAAAACAGCCTTTAAAAAATAGGTATGATATGATAAATAATTATTTTTAAGAAAAATACAATGAATTTACCTACCATTGTTTGTAGTCTTTCTGGTTGGTATCGATGGTTTTGTAAAAAAGAGACAAATAATGAATATATAAAATTGGATGACGATAATACTAAGTATAGTGATAAAGATAAGCCAGTTGGTATTCTTCGATTAGTAAGTATATTCAGACAGAATACTAGGTGATTGATGTATGCGTTTGTGTTGTAGTTTCGGTTTGCAAATCGTGTCGATATTGTTCTAATATTCATTGCTATATGTTTGGCATCGTTGCAGGCGGTTTGCGCTACTACTAGCATATTTTTGTTTGGCCAACTCACAGGATTATTTGCAATTGAATCGTTCAATGATAATTGTGATCATCGATATCAAAATCTAACAGTTCTGATTAATAACAGCAGTAGATTTTATCACGGTATCGAGCCCAATGTAGTCAGCAGTGCTCTACCGCATGAGTAATTCACTAGAAACTATTATTCGTTGCTATATATTTCCTTTATTTTTCTTTGGTTTTTTTTATCTTAGACTGCATCAAAATATTGATATATTTTCGTTATCCACTATAGGTGCATCAATTTCTCCATCTTCACTTCGAAAAAAAGTTATGAATCTAGTTTATTGGCTATTCAGTAAGTGCAATGAACGTAATAGTTCAAGTGTAACTTATTATGGATAAATTCTTTTCTTTCTATTCATGTAGTTATTGGTACTCTTGAATTTCTGATTGCCTCCATTAAAGATTTCATTTGGATTATTAGTGTGAAAAGACAGATGTGTCGTATACGTGTTTCTCTCTTTCAATCACTTGTCCAACGAGTATGTAAAACACTTTGATTTATAAATGAACTTTTCACAACGTTTAATTTTATGCTCTTTCTTTTCATGAGAAACTGATTATCCGCAAATAAGCTATTTTATTAAATCTACGAAATAACTACAGCCTCTAGATAAAAGTTATATCTACTTCGGAATGCCTATATGTCTGAGACTTCTAGATCTGAAAACAAGAATTCAGGGCAACAGTACAAATATATGTTCAACCTTGTTGTCATTTACATATTACTTCTGCTCTTAGAAGCTGATACAAATATAATTGTTTTGAAATTCTATAGAGGCAGAACGATCATGCTGTATCTTTAAGGAAAATTTTAACTTCAGTAAATGATAGATTCATATACTTATGCAGACAGACATCTTCATTATTGATTTGCTCCTGAGATAATAAAACTAAAAGTATTTATAGAAAACTGAAGTTTCAAAATTTTATATTTCTAAAACCATACTAAAGACATATTGACAAGTTCTTGTAGTTCTTTCAATTGTATTATGCGTTCCATAAATTACCATGTGCGAAAACGATCTTATTCTGGTCAGAGATGCACCAATTCAACTCAAACTGGGCACTTCTATCTATAAAAGTTGAAATGCAAGCGCATCGATTTACCAGAAAACTTTGTTAGATGTCAGTTTCTTGTTTTAATGAGATTTTTGTTAATAAATACGATATAATATTCTAGTAAAAACTCTAAAAAGATTCCATTTCCTATTCAAACCTGACGGAGTTGTTGGACTCCTAAAGTATCTATTTGCTAAGAATCTTTACAACTCTTCGGCTCTCTGAGAAATCATGTTGTTAAATTTTGTCTTCAAAAAATATCTCTATGTGAAAGTCCTAAATGCAGTTGCTTCAATGCAGAGTTTTAGAATTCGTAAATTTTGTGCCTCCGAGATAAAAAATATTCAACATATTCTTGTCATATGTACTGCACTTCGGACAATAGCTGGTTTTGAAAAGATATTTGCTCAGAAAGACGAACTTCTGAAACGTTAAAACAAAGATAGGCTCAACAAAAATTTCAATAGCAGAAATTTTTAGATAATTTGGGACTCTCTCGAGATCCCCGACAATTCCTGGTTACCCGAAAAGATCCTTCTATAATTTTTTCGGTTCATTTCACTATTTGTTGAACTTTATTGAATATATTTTCTGTCGTAACAGAGAAAAATAAAACAGATTAAACCATTGTATCTTAATGAAAGATCTTAGCTTGCAACAATGTTTTTGAAGTTTTCTGTACCAAAAAGAAACGCTGCGTGCCTATATGTTACTCCAAAAAAACTTCGATCAGGCCCAGAAAATGGTGGAATCAAACCACAAAATTGTTAGAAAGAAACTTTTGGGACATCCAGTAGACGTGCTAAAAAGTCGATAACTGCTAATTCTCAGTAAAAACTAGAATATTTTTATGATTCCAACTAGAATACTATATACCCTATACAGACAAAAACATCTGTGAAATCGAAAGGAGACATCTTGGAAGAGCATATTATTGAATTGTTATTACAGGAGACTGATATTCAATAAGCATAGTTGAAATGAAGTTACGGTTAATAGCTTTTTATCAATAGTAATAAAATTTCTGTTCACTCAGTAATTTGGCAAAGACAAATACAAAATATGACATAAGAAAAAGTGATTACAGAAGCAAATGTATATAGATTCAACGCTTTCAAGTTAGATTAGATAAAGTGTAACCGTTTTCAGTTATAGCTGGGGTAAATTTGTTTAAAAACCTTAACTGTAGGTGACTTTTATTAGAAAAATGTAAAAAGAGTGAGAATGATAGTCTCAAAAAGAATCATCAGTCACTAATACGCTTCTTACGAGTTCACGTTGTACTTGTAGGTAGAGCTCATAGTGCTGATAAAAATACTAGAAGATTTCTTCTCATTAGTTCTTGATTCTCGATTGATAATCATTTAACTGAAATTCCATTGTATTTCCGAATATAATGAGCAAAACGTAATCAATAAATTTCAGTCTGTAATTTCGTGTTGTTAAACGAAACAGATTTTGTTGAAGCCATTGTGAGAAAAATATTTTTGCATACTAATAATCTCGAGAATAGAGTACTGTGAGCTGAAAGTTTCATAAGATTATAAGGATCATAATTTCTGTTCTTAGGCGAAATTTGATTACCGATCGAGAACCAAGGTCTAATGGGAAGAATTTTTTATAGTTTTCGTCTGCACTATAAGCTCTACTTATTAGAAAAACACCGACTTATATGGATTCTACCAGTTAGTGAGATTCTTTTATCAATAGAATCCATTCATCTTTGACTATTTCTTTCCATTATTTTCAGAACATTTCTTACATGGATACTAAATCACCTAGTCAACTTCATGCTACACTGTTTGAGTGAGTTATCATGATCTTTTATATCAAATAACTCAGTCTAATTCAATTTCCGTGTAGTAACATTGCAAAGATCGAGAAAGGCATTGGTTTTGAATTCTTAGTGCTATTGACAACGTTATTTCTCACCATTGATTCTCTGATAGTGTGTTTTATTGTCAACTGGAAATTGACTTGGATCATGTTATGTTTGATGCTTTTGGTCATTATTGGGGCGTTTGTCTTTTCTAAGGTATGAGCTACTTTTCAATCAATTTAATCTTTATGAATTGATATAGTTCTTTACAAATGAAATGATGAATGAGAAAATGGCATACTCAAAAGCAACACAATTTGTTCAAGAAGTGTTTAGCTCACTGCGAACGGTTCTTTCTCTCAACGGTAGTAAATTTGAGCAGAAACGGTAGAGAAACACATCAATATTATTTATTTATATAACATCACGAAGCATTTTGTTACTTTTATTACACTTAGATACGAAAGAGAATTGTATGCAACTCATTGGAGTAGCATACGCCAAGGTTTGATATATGGAGCATATGTGGGATGGGCATCTCTAAAAACTAACCTGGCTTATTCAGTTGGGTTTACTTTTGGTCACATTTTTATGTCACAGAAAGACCATATGGGTTTCGGTATTAATGATATTCTTGTCGTAAGTAATTCATAGAATCAGTCATTAAGAAAATCAACACACGATTACTATTGCGGTATAGGTTATCTCCATCGTTGTAAGATGTTTGAATAGCCATAATTCTGTCGGTCTTTACTTTCAATCACTTACAGAAGCCCGATGTGCAGCACCGGCAGTGTTTCGACTTATTGACGAGGTACAGCCGAGTAAATCTAGGTCTTATTTCAATAAAAATATTTCTTGTTTTTTCTAATAAAATTTAGGGAAATGAAGCAAGAATCAATGAAGTGGATATATGGACGGAAAATACAGAGTCAATTGATAATATCAATGGTGATATTAAATTTGACAGTGTCAACTTTTCTTATCCATCTCGAAAAGAAGCATCAGTTTTGCATAATCTCTCTCTTATTGCTCGTGCTGGTCAAACAACAGCTCTTGTAGGTTCAAGTGGTTGCGGTAAGTCTTTTCTAAAACAAAAATGGTAAAATGATTTGATTGTATTCATAATTTATTCAAAGGGAAAAGTACATGTATATCACTATTGCTTCGTTATTATGAACCTTCATCAAATCGAATTACGATCAATGGTCGAGCAATAACAGATTACAATATCAAACATCTTCGACAAAACATTGGAGTTGTTAGTCAAGAACCGGTATGCTTTGTTTCTGTTTTTCTTTTCTTGCTTTCTATTTGTTTTTACTCTTGTAAAAGATTGTGTTTGGAGTGAGTATTTATGAAAATATTCGTTTTGGTAAAGTAAATGCAACACAAGCAGAAATTGAACAAGCAGCACAACAAGCCAATGCCCATGATTTCATCATGCAATTACCGAATGTTTCTGCCACACATTCATATTCATCTTTATACCTATTGATCATTATTTCTGTTTTAGAAATATGAAACAATTGTTGGTGAACGTGGTATTCTATTGAGTGGTGGTGAAAAACAACGTATTGCATTAGCTCGTGCTCTTGTGAAGCAACCTACCATCCTTTTACTAGATGAAGCAACAAGTGCACTTGATATTGTTAGCGAAAAAATTGTTCAAGAAGCGCTTAATCGAGCATGCGAAGGTGGCAAGCGTTTTTTTTCCTACATATCATAATGATGTATGATTGGATATAGATCGTACAGCTATTGTTGTCGCTCATCGTTTGACTACAATTCAAAATGCTCATCAAATATATGTATTAGATAATGGAACTGTGATTGAGCAAGGTACACATGAAACATTAATGGCAACACAAGATGGAAAATATCAAGCAATGGTCAAACTTCAACAAATAGAAAAAATCGATGATGACATGGATAATATGATAAGCATAGAAAAACCAGTGGAAGAAGATAAAAAGCCGATATGTATGCTAGCATTCTAATATTAATAATCTTTACCTATCTTGGTCTTTTTTTAATAGTTGAACAATCTCGCTTACTTAGCGATAGTAAAATTGTTGACGTGGAGAAAGTACAAATACTATAACTATAGCTTATAAAAAAATATCATTGATAAGTTTTCTTTTAGCAAATTTCTAGGTCATTCAAAAGAAAATTTATCTTTTTACGACTCTTGTCAATGAATAGCTCTGAGTGGATTACCATCTTGATTGGATGTATAGCATGTGTACTTAATGGTGGAACTCAACCCTTGTTCGCATTTTTACTTGCCAAGATAGTCAACGTGAGTAATTAACCGATATTCAGCAGGATGAAAAAGGATTGGTGTTAAATATTGTCTCATTTCCATTTGCTTATTATTTAGGGATTTCAATATTGTTCAATTCCTACACAACGTCATCAAGTGTTGATTAACAGTCTTCTTGTTCTACTTTTGGGTGTTATTTTATTGGTTCTTCGCTTTATTCAAGTAAAAATAATGCTTCTGAATTGTATCAGTGAGTTATTTACTCTTTTTTTTTATAGCATGCTGCTTTTGCCATATCAGGATCGAAATTAACGCAACGTATTTGTTCGAAATTTTTCGCATGCCTTCTCCATCAAGAAATTGCTTATTTCGATCGACCTGAAAACAGTTCTGGTGCAATTAGTGTTCGTCTTTCTTCTGATGCTTCAGCCATTCGAGATATGATTGGTGCACGATTGGGATTCATCTGTGAAGCTATCGCACTTTGGGTTTTTGGAACTTTATTGGGATGTTTCGTCAGTTGGCAATTAACAATGATTACCTTCTGTCCACTATTTATTCTAGTTTCAATCCTCTATGCAAATATGTCCATCAATATGCGCTTAAATAAGAAACCTGATCAAATTATTGTGTACGCAAGCTCGGTAAGTTAAGTTTTTACAATATAATCGCTTTTTCTAGGAACAATCGATTTATCATGAATGGTTTGACGAAATGAATACTCTATAATCAATTCTCATTTTATTTCTGCAGCTGACTGCTGAAGTTCTTCACAATATGCGTACGATAAAACAATTGTCAATAGAAAAGGACGTTCTGAGACAATATTCTGAACTGATTCATCATGTATTTCGGTTAGTCAATCAAATTTTATACACATATGAATTTTTCTATCGATCTGGTTTTATCGTAGATTTTCTTGGAAACCTGTGTTGATACATTCCATTGCATATGGTTTATTCTGGATCCTAAATTCATACACTATAGCATTTTTGTATTGGCGTGCTCTTATCCTTGTTGAAAAGAAACAGCTTACTTCGAGCCTTATTATAATGTAAATGAAATACAAACTTGATAATCTAAAGATATCATTTTATCATCTTATCAATTTAATAGAGTGTTTGCCTTTGCTTGTTTTTCATTACAAGCACTCAGACTTGTTGGGATAGCGTAATACTCTCAATTTTTACTATGATTTTTTTCTTCTCTTATCCTCATTTTAGATCTACGGGTATCAATTCATCAGTCGCAGCTGCTGAAGCATTTTTTGATTTATTTGATCGAAAACCAGTTATCGACAATATATCTAATGAAGGACAAGACTTGGTAAGAGAACCTAAAAGATAAATATTTAATTTCAATTTTCTATATACCATACATGCACTATGGTTTTTGTAGGTTGACTTTCGTGGAGAAATTCAATTTGATCAAGTGAAATTTATCTATCCAACTCGACCACGATCTATTATTCTTAATGAATTTCAATTGAATATTAAACCAGGTCAGAAGATATATTTTGACTTAATTATTTTATTACTAGGTCTTTTCTTCTAATAAGGTCAACGTGTTGCTCTTGTTGGTATGTTCGAATTAAATATTTCTTTTAAGTGTTAATTTTGTTATATAATCTATAAAGGTGCATCTGGGTGTGGAAAATCAACAACTATTCAACTGTTGGAACGATTCTACGATGTTACAAGTGGGCAGATAGTTAGTATTTTTCGACGTATAGTTTAAATAATCATATAAAATTTGTTCACTCAATCTAGCTTCTTGATGGCATTGATATCCGAGGGGAAATATACCATCGTCAATCTTACTGTTTCGCCAATTGTACCTTTCGCCACTGGCGAATATCAACTAGCTTTTCGCCAATTGGCGAATGTCGCGGAGAAATTCGCCAATTGGCGAATACACTATGGCGAACCAAAAAGTTTATTGGCGAATTTCATACTAGATATTCGCCAAATTGACGAATTTCATACTACAGATTCGCCAATTGGCGAATATACTAAACCAAAAATAAATATTTATTGACGCATTTCACGCTAGAGATTCATCAATTTGAATCAATTGACTTATAGTTCAGCTGTACTATTTGATATTGTTACCGATCAAACTAAATTAGTTCTAGTGTATACAAGTACAACAATAAAAAATAATTGTTTAGATCATTAAAAGTAATATACTGTTCATCTTTCTTTTTTCAATCTCAATATAAAATATCACACAGTAATATTTAAATATTCTATCACCAAGTTAGTACAGTCATAATTGTACGGAGTAAAATTGACGAATTTCACACTAGACATTCGCCAATTGGCGAATACACTATGGCGAACAAAAAGTTTATTGGCGAATTTCTCCACGACATTCGCCAATTGGCGAATATACTAAGGAAAAAATAAATATTTATTGCCGAATTTCATACTAGAGATTCGCCAATTGGCGAATGTCGCGGGGAATTTCGCCAATGGCGAATATCTATTGGCGAAATTCCGAATTGGCGAAGTTACAGAAAGCCGATATCCGACAACTAAATCTTCAGTGGCTTCGTTCTCAATTCGGTCTTGTTTATCAAGAACCAATTTTATTCGATTTAACACTAGCCGAAAATATAGCATATGGCTTAGAAAATGTACCAATGGAAGACATCATTAATGCAGCACGAAAAGCTAATATTCATCAATTTATTGATCAATTACCTCAGGTTCAACAATACAAAATTATATAATGAATCTATTATTCTTTTGTGGTCTTCTTTTAGGGTTATCAAACAAAAGTAGGGTTGAAAGGTAATTTTCTATCAGGTGGTGAGAAGCAACGTATTGCTATTGCTCGAGCTCTTGTTCGCCAACCTAAAGTACTGCTCTTAGATGAACCGACAAGTGCCATGGATTCATACAATGAACATGTATGTTCACTTCTTTTTCTGTTTACTAAGGACAGTATCATTTTCATTTGTTTTCTCTAGATTGTACAAGAAGCCCTTGAACAAGCTCAAATAGAAGACCCCAATAGAACATCGCTTATTATTTCACATCGTCTTTCAACTATTTGCTCATGTGATTTGATTTGTGTACTTGATAGAGGACAGATAGTGGAAAGTGGTACTCATGCAGAACTGACACGACGACGTGGCACTTATTATAGAATGCTTGCTCAAAAAGATTTACAATAATCATTTGTGAACTCTCTTGCACGTGAAAGTATATTTTGCTCCACATTTTGCGAAATTTTGTCTAAAATAACATCTGCAGTGTATTCAAAACATTTTTTTAATTTAATACCCAAATCAAAGACTTACGATGGAAAACCATCTCATCCAGAGGATTTTCAAAATCAGTTTCAACCTTCACTTTCTACTTAGTTCCTATCAATTGTGAGATTCGGAAGCAATTTCCGAATGTGAATGCCTCCTGCCAATATGGTTTCAGAATGCTATTCCGGCGATTTATGAGCTCGACGGGATACGAAGTATATACCGTTGCTACCGGTTTGATTCCGAAACCCAGATTCAGCAGTTTCGAATTAGACCTTTTGAGTCCAGATCTGATCTCAGAATACGATAACGCCTGGCTTTGAACCTACTGGTTCTAGTTAAATTAGATCAATAAGTATTAAACAATAAATAGATGATATTTTTTTATAATACACATGTGAAAGCAAGTTCTAAAGTTTAAAGTGAAACCTTTTCGCAAAATATTCGAGAAAAATCGAGCACATATGGAAGTTTTCGATTGACTTCAATCCAATAACTGTCTTTAATCGGTTCTATTCTAATTCATAAAAATCCATTCTTAAGTATTATTAACTCGATTCAAATCCGATTTTTGAAATCCTTTTTAGGCATGGACAACTCTATATATTGAAGTACGACGCACTTTAGAATTTATTCAAATCACAAAATAGTTAGGAGTAATATATCGATTAAAAATTCATTTTGAGGTATTGGAAATCCGATTAAAATCGAATTTCGTTGAGCCTTTTGAAGACATCTTTGGCCTTATATATAGAACTGCGGAACACATGCGAGTTGATTGAAAGCTCAGAACAAATAGAAGTATGATGAAAGACGTGTAGTGATAACTAACGAGGAGCCATGGAAGCTTTGCTTAGATGCACTGAACTACAATAAGCAGCGAAAATGCTTGAATCTGTTCTACAACAGATGAAGATGGATCAAGGCTGATGGAAAAAGCGAAGTTAAGATTGAAGCAGACACTCATGTCAGATCAACTAAAAACGACTAAAATTTTTCTTCGTCTCACGGTTTTAAGCATTTTATATCTACAGCACATGATTTTTGAAACAAGTTGTGAGATTTTTTACAAGCCATACTATATCGGTTTCAAAATAAAAAAAAAAGGGTGAGTATTTTTAGAACAACTTTTGATAGGAACCAGATAGGGGGCTGTGGTTCTCACCGTTGGAAAGAGGCGATGAAACTGCATCGATTCGTATATTTAAAATTTTTTTCTGACAAGTATTTTAAAGGTCTTCCGAAGAAGTTTTTTAAAAACTCAAAGATTTTAGACGTAGAAGAAATTGATTTTTATTAAAAACTAAGGAAAAAAAGGATTTTTTCGTTAAAAATTGACCGACAACACACAGTAACGTGTTCATAACTCATGATTAGCTGAAGATAATAACGTCAGGCTTGTATAGCTGATAGGTCTTTAGTTAGTGATTCTAGTGCCCTTCTGAAAATTAAAAGTCCATTATATTTACATAATATAACGCTTTGTCTTTTGAAAACTTGTCGAGGAACCCTTAAAATACTTGTCAGAAAAAAATCTGAAATATACGAATCAATGCAGTTTCATCGCCTCTTTCCAACGGTGAGAAGCGCAGCTCCCTATCTTGTTCCTATCAAAAGTTGTTCTAAAAATACTCACCCTTTTTTAATTTTGAAACCGATATTAGTTACGAAAACAATGACTGAATATTTTTTGTGCGCCTTCTCTACACTGACTTCTACGGTTCTATTGGAATGCATTCTCCAACTCATCCGAATTGATGCTGCCACAGCTTTAATAAGAAAAGAAATTACCTATGACATTATTTTCGCTATTGTTCCACTTATATAATTTACAACGCAGAGTAAAATGAAGTAACACAAAAAAGAAATGTGAGTATGATCAGCATAAAACCTATATGAAGCCCATTATACCAATGCATACAGTGGTATGGGATTTGAACCTAATTTAAGTATACTCACAAAATAGCCTTTCTATCACATGAGATAAACAAGACAATAATAACAACATAAGCACAAATATACAATATTATTCACACATAGATATTTTCTATAAAGTCTTTTTCTACACAGCTCCATACGAAGAGCTTTCTCATTCGTCATGAGCCTGAAGTACATCTTTTTATTGTTGTATAAATAAGACACAAGGCATTGATAAGACGAGGAACAATCAGCTTCAATGCTGTGATCAAACCTCCAACAAGACCAATCAATGTTGTAAATATGTATAATACATCATTTCTCATCTTGTCTGTGTACATGCATTCTAACGGTTCACATTCATTATAGTAATTAGTGTACATTATTGATGAGTTCCATGCTTCTACCATCAGCATGTTTACAATATCTTTCATTTTACTAATTGGAGAGAATATCGAAACAAGTTTCATTATAAAAGCGTTCTAGTGTTGATTGTTGCAATGCTTCAATCACATAGCAATCAGGGTATAAGCCGGGTACTATGAATAATTGCTCAAAAACCGAACTATTATATATACGTAAGGCATAAACACAAGTAGAATTATAATTACAAGAACAATTGGCAGTTCCTTCTTCCAATGAGCTCACATATTGATATGCTATTGAGAAGAAAACTGCATTTGTAAACAGGGATGACTGAAAAGCATTGCTCTTAGTTCTGTCTGGGACGATTCGTATAGACAACAAGAAACTATTAGTTGTCGACGATATAAATTGATTTACCAGTGATTGAACTTGCGATTCGAATAGTACTTCTGATATGACGGATAAGCTCACATATTCAGTCGCATAAAACCGTGACAAACTATCCCATATTGTAGTGTGGGCTAGTTCACAGAACATCGCAAAGACTGGAAACGATATCTGCTTGATCTCTGAAAATGGGCTGAGGAGAGCTGCAGAGTGTTTCTAGAAGCATAGAGATATTTGAGCCAATATTGAGTGACAAATTGACTGTAGCACACTTGATGTAATGTATAGTTGATGCTTAAGAGTTTATGATAGTTCGTCGAGATTCATGAACATGGACATATCAGAGTTTGTTCGTGTTTGACATATAATTGTGAATATTGTTTAATATCTGGTGTTTTGACAATGATCGTTTTTGGGAATGCGACTAGTGAATTGTGGAGGGGAAGAATCACCAAGGACATGATCAATAATAAGATAAAAATCCAGGTAGATAATCGTTGGCTTTTTAGCTGATGTTCATCAGTAGAAGGTGGTATCGATGAGAAAAGACTGTAATTTCGAATATATTGCACACATGTTCGTAGATATATTTGTAAAGATCTACGGATTGGTACAATTGTATAGAAAAGCATAAGTTCAATTATTTAGATAGTGGGAAATACGTGATATACATATTTATCGGGTAAGCCCTACCTATTTTTGTCTATTTTTATCACTCATTTGTTCAGACGAATAGGTAAAAACCTAACTTTTGTCCACACTCGTCTACCTATCTTTAGTATCGCGCATCTAGCTGCCCTCGTCTACGGCCTGAACTGTCTTTAAATGTAGCATTACAAACTGTCAAAAATATTTTACTCTTTTTCTATGCAGTGTTGAAGAATAATGAGCAACATAATGACCATTCCTGTCTATTGTATACTCTATTAATAAGCGAATATGTGTTGATTGAATTGATACATACAAAAAGCTTGTAGATCATCAACGAAGAAACCATTCAAAAAAAAAGCTTATTTTAAGTTGATTAGAAGCAAGTGATGCACAAAGTTGTTGATGATTGTCAAGAGACTTATCGGGACACGAGGTAAAAACGCCGGCACGATGAGTCCTGCACGATGGTAAGCGAGAAAATGAAGAGAAAGAGCAGAAAACAAGACGCTAACGAAGAAGGTCCCCACATGATCAATCGCTTTTTCATGAAAACATACATGACTGTATGCAGTTTTTTGTGCTGATTCCAAATATCACGGTTTTAGCAGCCCTTAGGCCTTCATTGATCCCATACCATAAGTATCAAAGTCCTTCTGGTAAGAATATATTTTTTATCAAATTCGATTTCCAGTCAGTCTACCGTGCATTATTTGACAAAATAAATAGAAGGATACGTTTTTCCAAGCATTTCAACTTTAAGTCCCAAATGCTAAGATGCATTAAAAGACAGAAAAAGGCTATATGCAAAAGTATTTTTCAGAGCTCATCTTTGTCACATGAAGAAAGGATGAAGAATTGGGTTTTTTTAATGTGTTGCCCTATATAAGCGCATTCAACTTTCTGGTTGTGTTAGAAATGTATTCACACTGTATTAAAGTTTACATCATAGGAAATTAGCATGCATGTGCTCATATCAAATATGTATTAGTTCATATGTGCCTTTTTTCTATTTCTTCCATTGCTAGATACTTTGTGAAAAATATTACATAAACGAAAGAAAAGCCGGATCGCTATTTGTACTCAATAGAACAGCTACGTCGCTACATTATAGCTTGTTACTTGAAAATTAAGGTTAAAGTGCCTGGAAAAAATATTTATGTACATATCTTGTCTAATAATGCATGGTAGGTTGCTTGAAAATCGAATTTGATGAAAAATATCCTTACCAGAGGAACTTTGATACTTATGGTATGGGATCAATGAAGACCTAAGGACAACTGAGACTCTGATATTCGGAATCAGCACAAAAAACTGCATATAGTCATGTACGTTTCCACGAAACAGCGATTGATTACTTCGGGAATCTTCCTCGTAAGTCTAAATACATAAAGCGAACATCTAGTAATATTGTTGTTGTTAGACAGAAACGTACAAAGTCAAATTCATCAAAAACAGCAGACAATAATCAAGTTGCAAAGATGTCTTGTAAACAACTGATTGAATCGTTAGCTGAACTAGGCATATTAACCCTTTACCCTCTATAGTGATTTCAAAAGAGACACTAATAAACTTATTTCATAAATAGAGTACTAGCCCCT